ACCAGATGATGAAACGGTGACATGTTGCGTACTACCTATCCTTGCACAGTTTCAGGCCATCAAACGCACAAGCGTCACGTGCTGCGTAGTTGTGCGAATTAACTCAAACCAGTTCCTATGGCAAGTTAATTGATTGAATTACCTGAATGTGTGAAGAAATGGTGGCTAAAAAAAACAACCAGACGATGAAAACGGTGACATGTTGCGTACTACCTATCCTTGCACAGGTTCAGGCCATCAAACGCACAAACAAGCGTCACGTGCTGCGTAGTTGTGCGAATTAACTCAAACCAGTTCCTATGGCAAGGTAATTGATTGAACTACCTGAATGTGTGAAGAAATGGTGCTAAAAAAATAAACCAAACGACGAAACGGTGACATGTTGCGTACTGGCCCATCCTTCATCAGTTTTCGGGCCATCGAACATTGCGATGTATATTCAGAGGTAACATGCATACGATAATTATTTGATACTACCCTAGCAAATAGTAGGGTGATTGTGAGTGTTTGAAGGGATTAGCAACAATACTTTCACATACATTTACGAATCTAAACAGAAGTAAATATGTATTCAACAGTTTCAGTTCTAACAGTCGATTCGAATCATATCGCGAATCTAAAATCACGCGCCATGAGATGACGTGGCAAACGAAAATCGTGACCACGGGAAGACCTTCACAGTTATCCACAGCATTCCGCAGCATTCCGCAGCTCTCTACCCGAGCGAGCCGCCCCGTCAGGCAACGTCAGGTTCCTGCCAGTAAACTGCCAAGTTCTTCCAGCCTCAAACCTGCCCATTTCCCCTGAAATTCGCGATCCCAGACAATCACGGAAATCACCCACAACAGACAAAAACCGCCAGTTTACCCCCGCGTCCTAAGTCACAACCCTTCCCTCACAGTAAACGGCCAATTACAGGGCGCTCGACAACCCAAAAAAAAAGCTAAGTACTCGTCCACCGGTTTTTTCGGCAGAACGACATTTTTCGTCCTCCCTCCAAGTACAACGACTACGCTACGGTAGCCGTTGGGGAGACGGATAAGGAGGGCGCGGCATTTTGCTTCGCAACCAAGGGTGATGATGAACACGCGAAATATCTCATGGAACCACCCCCTAAAGATTCATCCCGTGCATGCTATGAGCATGTTGGTTTGCACACCTAGTGGGTTGGGTGCAAGGGGGAGTGTTGGAGATTACGTGTGTTGGAAGCAAGGTGGTGGTGGGGCGTTTGTATGCCCCCAACCCACCGAATGTGTGACTTGTGCTCACCTTCGAGTGAGTTGCAGGTTTGCGTGGGGTTGAGGATTGACTTCGGAAGACCCATTCGATTCGGTGCCACATGGCAGCACCAGGAACATTCGAGACCCAAGGAGAATTCGGATCGGTGAAATTCGAGAGTCGAATTTCACCCTTTCGATGTTACTCGAACATTCGCGAGTGTAGCGGTTCGAGGTTACTTGTGCGATTCGATCTTGTTTGCATGCTATAAATCTGTTTTCTTTTGTATTGCATGCCATCATAGTGAAACTCAGAGTTCTTTGTACAAGGTACATTCGAACACAAATTCCAGAGAGCTTCTTGCATTCAAGAGCACCACCTAGCACGTGAACGCCTATATCTCGGAGAATACTTAGGCGATCGACGTGTTTGACGGCTCGTTGGAAAGCTAAGACAGAGCTCTATCGTTTAGAACAACTCCTAGTTCCTGCAAAGTAGAGGAGAGTCCTCTACAACAGTGGTATCAGAGCTGGTCGGAGGAGTCTACGCGCCGCGACAAGGAGCACGCATGATGACTTCAAGCGAGGCCTCCCGCACTTCCTTGGATGGTGTCGTTGTAAATTCCGGCGAACCCTGGGCAACCGCGACGATGTTCGACACGTCGGCGGTACCGATTTTCACGGGACAAAACTACTCCGCGTGGAAGTTTAAGTTCCAAGTGCTCATGATGGAGCGGGGACTTTGGGGTTTCTTCCGATGGAACGGAGAAGAAGCCGGACGATGAGAGCGGCATCGCGGCATGGAAGAAGAAGGACCAAAAGGCGTTCGCTACGTTGATTTCGCGCATCGGCATCAATCTCGTGAGCTCGGTGCGCATGTGCATCAAGCTCGAAGCGTCGGCGCATGAAGCGTGGAAGCGGCTCGAGACCATCCACGTGAACAAGACTCTCCACGGCAAGATCCTAGCCCGGAATGCGTTCTACACGGTGAAGATGCGCGCGGGCGAATCGATGCACGAGTTTGCGACTCGTGTGGAGGAACTCGGGGAAACGTTCATGAACCTCGGTGGAACGGTCACGGAGGAGGATTGGATTCTCACCTTGCGTTGCGGCCTTCCGGAAGAGTGGTCGACGGTGATTACGACACTCGATAGCGTGCAAGACACTTGGACGAAGGAAATGGTGGTTGGTCGGCTTCTCCATGAAGAATCGCGTCGCCGACAATTCGCTAATGAGAGCGAGGGTGCCGCCATGTACTCCGGAGGGAGTTCCGGAAAGAAGTCCAAGTGGAGCAAGGACGCAACGAAGGAATCGTCCGGTGGGAGCGAGCATCGCGGCAAGTGTCACTATTGCCGCAAACCGGGACACTTTTGGCGTGAGTGTCGAAAGCGGCCGAGCGATTGGACTCCATCGATGGCGCGGGACCAAGAGGGCAACGCGCACACGGCATCCGGCGAGGCCGATGATTCAAAGGAGTCGCTCGTGTTAGTGGCCGGCAACGGGAACAAAACTCCAAGCGACGCGTGGTTCCTCGATACCGGCGCAACGCAACACATGACGCACTCGGCGTCGCTCCTCAACAACATTGGCGCTCCGGGAGACGTCACGAGCATCGTGTTCGGAAACAACGAATCGCTACCGGTGGTCGGAGTTGGGAGTACGCGCCTCATCGTCGATAGCGGTCCGGTGGACGTGACGAACGTGTTTCACGTCCCGGGGGTGAAGGTGAACCTTCTATCCGTCCCACAACTTGCGAAGAAGGGAGTGATCGCCACGATCGACGGTGCGAAAATAAACCTCTTTTGGAAGGGGGAGCAATTCGCGCAAGGTGTTCTCAACGGAGATATCTACCCAACTCAAGACGTACCCGAGAGCGGCTTCATCCAACGTGGCGCAAGGCTCCAAGGCGACTCTCAAGGCGTGGCATAATCGGCTTGCGCACGCCAACTACGACTCGGTCAAGGAGTTGGCCAACAAAGGACTTGCGAAGGGAGTCGACGTGATCGCCGGCGACGACGAGAAGGGCGTGTGCGCGGCGTGTGTCGAAGGTAAAATGGCTCGCAAGCCATTCGGTAGCCGAACGTCACCCCTCGCTAAGGACCCGCTTGCACTTGTTCACATGGACGTGTGTGGACCGATGCGGCATGCATCAAAGGGAGGAGCGCGGTTCCTCTTAGTGATGCTCGACGACGCGACGCGGATGTGTTGGACCCGACTTTTGAAGGCTAAGGGAGATGCGGTCAAGGCGATTCAAGAGTGGGCGCTCGAAGTTTGCGACGATGACAAGAAGCGGATCAAGTGTATTCGCACCGATGGTGGTGGCGAATTCGTGAATGCGGAGCTCGAGAAATGGATGAAGTGCAAGGGCATTAAGCACGACGTCACAACACCCTACACACCCCAACAAAATGGAGCGGCGGAGCGGCTTAATCGCACGTTGGTGGAAGCCGTTCGTTCTCTTCTTCAACACTCCAAGCTTGGGAAAGAGTGGTGGGGCGAGGCGAGTTCGCTAGCGGCGTGGATTCGCACCGTTTGCCGACGAAGGTGCTCCCGGGAATGACTTCCGTTCGAAGCATGGACGGAACGAAGCCGAACCTATCCCGCCTTCGCACCTTGGGTGCCTTTGCTACTACCATGTACCCGGATCCCCTTTGCCACAAGTTGCAACCGAAGGCTCGTGCGGCGATCTACTTGGGAATTGCGGCGAACTAGCGTGCGTGGCGAGTGTGGGACTTGGGCGACAAGTGCGTCGTCACGTCTCGGGACGTGGTCTTCGATGAAGACAAGTTCCCGTCGAAGGAGAAACCCACTCAACAACTCACCTTCATCCTTCCGCCACGAGAGGAGGTTGAAGAGAGTGAGACTCCACCTCAAGTGGAGAAGGAAGCCGATGGAGGGGGAGCGAACAACGAGGAGAGCATTGATGATGTCGTGGAGGTGTCACCAACCGAGGCGGCAACTACCTCCACACCTTCCTCCCTACCATTGGCCTTGACCCGCGAGCGTCGTGAGGTTCGTCCTCCCTCCAAGTACAACGACTACGCTACGGTAGCCGTTGGGGAGACGGATAAGGAGGGCGCGGCATTTTGCTTCGCAACCAAGGGTGATGATGAACACGCGAAATCTCTCATGGAACCACCCCCTAAGATTCATCCCGTGCATGCTATGAGCATGTTGGTTTGCACACCTAGTGGGTTGGGTGCAATGGGGAGTATTGGAGATTACGTGTGTTGGAAGCAAAGGTGGTGGTGGGGCGTTTGTATGCCCCCAACCCACCGAATGTGTGACTTGTGCTCACCTTCGAGTGAGTTGCAGGTTTGCGTGGGGTTGAGGATTGACTTCGGAAGACCCATTCGATTCGGTGCCACATGGCAGCACTAGGAACATTCGAGACCCAAGGAGAATTCGGATCGGTGAAATTCGAGAGTCGAATTTCACCCTTTCGATGTTACTCGAACATTCGCGAGTGTAGCGGTTCGAGGTTACTTGTGCGATTCGATCTTGTTTGCATGCTATAAATCTGTTTTCTTTGTATTGCATGCCATCATAGTGAAACTCAGAGTTCTTTGTACAAGGTACATTCGAACACAAATTCCAGAGAGCTTCTTTACTTGCATTCAAGAGCACCACCTAGCACGTGAACGCCTATATCTCGGAGAATACTTAGGCGATCGACGTGTTTGACGGCTCGTTGGAAAGCTAAGACAGAGCTCTATCGTTTAGAACAACTCCCAGTTCCTGCAAAGTAGAGGAGAGTCCTCTACAACAGGAGTTGGGTCCAGGATGATATCTGAGAGTTCTCAAGAATCGCTCATGAAGGGGAAGGAGGTGACGATTGGGTGCCTTGTCGCAACGGACGTCGCTGAAGGCATTCACATGCTCGCAGGTGGGTTGACAGCGTTGACTGAGTAGACTGGGGCCCAGAAAGGTGTGTTGACTGGGTTGATTGAGTAGACTGAGGGGTCCAGAAAGGTGTGGTGACTGGGTTGACTGAGGGTCCAGGACCGTGAGTTGACTGGGTTGACTGAGGGTCCAGGCGTGGGTTGACTGGGGTTGACTGAGGGGTCCAGCATGGTGGGTTGACTGGTTTGACTGAGGGGTCCAGGATGGTGCAATGCATTGGCGGCGGTGGGGGTGATTTCAGACGTTTCATAGAAGGCTGGTTTGGTGATGGGTTACTGAGGGTTACTGAGGCGGGATGATATGCATCCTGTTGTCCGTCTGTGCATGTGCCGTCGGAACCAAGGCACATGGACAATGCTGAAGTCGGATTTGAACTACTATGGTTTTTCAGCAACAGTTGCTTGTGTTGGTGTGTTTCCCCCCTTCTCCCTCGCCATGCCTCTCCCGTGCATATGTATCTGCACGTGTGCATGGCTGCATGTGCATGTGCATGTGCATGTAGATGATGCATAGCTTATGGATGCATGTGCGTGCCTGAGCGCGTGATGCCTGCATGTGCATTCATTCATGGCGCATGGTGCATGTGCGTGCATGTGATTACACTTCATGCCTATGCATGCAGGCAGTGTGATGGCAGTGGATGCGATCAACAGAGACCCCTCCATCCTCCCACATCACCATCTGCGCCTCACCACGGCCAACTACTCCATGACTGCCCCCATCGCCAGCATGATGGCTGGTGAGAGAGGCATGATAATAGATGAGAGAGGCATGGATGCACGATGGCGTGTGAGAGATGCAGGGATGCATGATGGCAGGTGAGGGGCTTGGCATGGCAGCATGATGGCAGGTGAGGGGCTTGGCATGGCAGCATGATGGCAGGTGAGGGGCTTGGCATGGCAGCATGATGGCAGGTGAGGGGCTTGGCATGGCAGCATGATGGCAGGTGAGGGGCTTGGCATGGCAGCATGATGGCAGGTGAGGGGCTTGGCATGGCAGCATGATGGAAGGTGAGGGGCTTGGCATGGCAGCATGATGGCAGGTGAGGGGCTTGGCATGGCAGCATGATGGCAGGTGAGGGGCTTGGCATGGCAGCATGATGGCAGGTGAGAGGCATGGCAGCATGGAGTCCTCACTCCCTGCCACACCTGATCCGCTCTCTCTCTCCCCCATCCGCCCCCCTTACTCTAATAATATAACTCCCTCTCAGCCTACAGCGTGGTGAGGCAGCGGCCAGTGGCAGTGGTGGGGCCGCACACATCGGAGCAAGCAGCGCTGGTGAGCCCATTTCGCCACGGCCACACGCTTTGAGACGTCTCACTCATTCAAACACCCCCCCACTCCATCGCCCCAACCCACAGCCTACAGTCTGGTGAGGCAGCGGCCAGTGGCAGTGATAGGGCCGCACACATCGGAGCAGGCAGCGCTGGTGAGCCCATTCGCCACGGCCACTCAAGTGCCCTTCGTGTCCGCCTCTGCCACGGACGCGCAGCTCACTGTGGGCGGCACACGACCCTTCTTCATGCGCACTGTGCAGAGCGACGGCCACCAGATGCGCGCCATTGCCGGTGGGTGGGTGTGTGCTCTCCCGTTTTCCCTGTATCTCCCACCAGGTGAGAGCAACGGGCATCTGGTGCAAGCCATTGCAGGTACGCTGCATGCAAGCTCTCCCCCCCACTCACCCCCTCAAACATGAGTCACTGCCAGTACATATCCGTCCATCCATCCATCCATCCATCCATCCATCCATCCATCCATCCATCCATCCATCCATCCATCATCCATCCATCCATCTCCCCATCCCCTATTTCCCCCACAATCCCCCCCCCACCTGCAACAACACAGACATTCTGGCAATATACCAGTGGAAGGCATTTATCGCCATTCACAGCGACGACCGATACGGAGGCAATGGCATCACAGCGCTGGAAGCATGCGTGCTTGCACTCAATGTAAGTATTCCGTATCCCTGCCCTGCCGCCATCCTGCCCTGCCCCTGCACCCACTTCCCTATTCCTATCTTTGTCTCCGTCGCTATCCCTAACGCTATCCCTATCCCTATCCCTATCCCCCTATCCGTATCCCTATCCCTATCCCTATCCCTATTCCTATCCGTATCCCTATCCCTATCCTCATCCCTATCCCTATCCGTGTCCCTTTTTCCTATCCCTATCCCTATCCCTATCCCTATCTCTATCTGTATCCGTATCCCTATCCCTTTTCCTATCTTTATCCCTATCCCTCCCTATCTCCATCCCTGTCCCTGTTCCTATCCCTATCCGTATCACCTATCCCTTTTCCTATCCCTATCCCTATCCCTATCCCTATCCCTATCCCTATCCCTATCCCTATCCTATCCCTATTCCCTATCCCTATCCCTATCCCTATCCTTATCCCTATCCCTATCCCTGTCCCTGCTCCTGTCCCTATTCCCCCTTCCCCCTTCTCTCTATCCCCGGCCCTGCCCCTACTCCTCCTGGCAGCATGTCTCTGTGATAGTCGTCAGCCAAATCGTCCGAACCATGTTACTCATAAGCCACAAACAAGGGGTCGTTTCCACCCTATTTACTTCCTCATCTCGTGTGGCCATCACCTTTCAGGGAACTTAGGAGCAGAGAAGGGGATACGCCCACTCCTGCTGCATGGTTTGGGCACTTCAAATCGCTTTTTGAAACTCTGCTCCCTCCCCTCCCGTCCAACCCCAACTCCCACATACCTTCTCTACCCTTCCTCTGTATGCGCAGCAAGGCATCAGCATGGCTCATCGCGTTGGCTATCACCCCAGGAGCACGGCAGCAGAGGTGCAGCAGCGCCTGCAGGTGCTGCTGGAGGTGGACACTGCTGTGTACGTTTTGCACGCATCCAACTGCCGTTGCCACGGCGGTTATACTTGCTGGTGCGTGTGCATTCATGAGACGCCTCAGGAAGCTTCTCATTTCACGCAGCAGCGCCTGCAGCAGCTGTGTGTACGTTCTGCACGAGTTTTGATGAGTCGACTCAAAATGCGCCTGCTGCGGTTGCCACGGCCCGTCATACTTGCTGGTGTGTGTGAATTCTTGAGGCGTGTCAGAAAGCGTCTCATTTTAACGCAGCAGCAGCGCCTGCAGGTGCTGTTGGAGGGTGGGATACGGCTGTGTATGTCCTGCACGCGTCCACTGCCGTTGCCACGGCCGTCATTCTAGCAGGTGTGTGTGGATTTCCGTGGGGTGTGTCAGGAATCGTTTCGTTTCACATAGCAGCGCCTGCAGGTGCTGCTAGAGGTGGATACGGCTGTGTGTGTGCTGCACACGTCCACTGCCGTTGCCACAGCCGTCATTCTAGCAGGTGCGAGTGGAGATTGTGTGTGCTAGTTAGAGAGGAGGAGTGCGAGTGAGAGTCGAGACAGAGTGAGGGGCAGTGAGAGACAGTGTGTGTAAGGGAGAGGAACTTGAGGAAGCGGAATGGAATGAGGGGGGACATTACAGACAGACTCGTTACCAGTGGAGATACTGCACAATTGCCCCTCCCACTCTTATTCTTTCAGTATTTATCCACCTCCCTTCCCTGCCACAGCCACGTCCCTCCGCTTCTGTCCATCTTTCTCGCTGCCTGCTCCCATTGTGCAGCGAACAGGCTGGGTCTGTTTTCGGCCAACAACGTGTGGATTGCAACGGAAGGGAGTGCACTCCTCGCTGGCTCCGCCCTGCACTATGCTCAGGTCCGCTGGTCTTCCCTCATGCCCCTCCCTCAGTTTCGTGATTTGAATGCGTCGCTTCTATCCAGCTCGAATTTCTGTTTTGATTTTGGCATTATGCTCCTTACACGCTGCCTCTCTCATAACGCATTGATGCAATGAAACGGCCCTCCCCCCCACTCCTCCCCTCCTCCCTCCTCCCCCCGCCCTGCCCTTCCTCCCTCCCACAATGCTCACCCCCCAATGCTTCCTCTTCTCTTTGATGCTTCCCTCCTTCATGCTCTCCTCCCCCGTGCTCCTCTTCCCCGACGCTTCTCCGTGAACCCCCCCCACGCCTTTCTTTCTCCCCAATGTTCCCTGGCAGGGCATGATAGTGACGGCCACGAACATCCCTACCTCCGCTCCCCTGACTGCCTTCATCTCAAAGTGCTCACCCTCGACCCTGTGCGCTTCCCCAACGTCAGCCGCCAGGTCAGAACGGGCTGTTGAGGTCAGCCGTCAGCTGCTATTGTGCATCTCATCGCTCTGTTGTCCTCATCCCCAAATGCCTGCCTCTATCCCCAATGCGTGGACGCCTTTCCCTGCTGGATCTTTTTCCCTGCTGCATCCTATCCCCCTGCTGCTGCACCTCTCTCCCATGCTGCACACCTCCCCATGACCAACAGATGCCCATGGCCTATGCCCTGGCTTCCCACGATGCAGTCTACCTCATCGCTCACGCTCTACACTCCCATCCTCTATAACAGCAGTTCCGCCAGCAGGAGCAACTCGTCATCTTCTAACACCACTACCACAACCACAGAACCCCACACTAACCTCACGGCTCTACTTGACTCGCCCTGGCCACGTCTCCATCTGGATCTGCTGCCTGATACCGGCAACGGCAACGGCAATGATACTAGCATAAGCAGCAATGGGAGCATCGGACACAATGGCAGCAGCAGCGGCAGCAGCAGCGGCAGCAGCAGCAAAAGCAGCAGCAAAAGCAGCAGCGGCAGCAGCAGCAAAAGCAGCAGCGGCAGCAGCAGCGGCAGCAGCAGCGCAGCAGCAGCAGGCAGCAAAGTAGTAGGGTGCTGATTCGCCTCTCATCCCACCTCTCGCATCACTCCAAAGAAGCCCTTGTGAGAACACTCCTGTTCTCCCCGCCTTTCCCTCTCTCCCACACCCCCCCCACCCTCCCCCTCTTCTCCAATCCCATCCCCTCCTCCACTTGCTAAGAATCTTGCTCTTGTTTTCTTGCTGCCCCACACCCCCCAACCACCCCGCCCTTCCTCCTCCCCTTTTTCGCAACCACTACCTCTCTTCGCCCCCCACACCCATCCCAAGTTCTCTTACCAGTGTCTCGCTCCCTCCTCTCACGAATCCCTCACCTCACCCACTCCCTCATCTCACCATCCCTTTCCCACCTCCCTCCAATCCCAACCCCCCCACTCCACACGCTGCAAGCAGCCATGCTGAGAATCACGTTCATTGGGCGCATCAGGCACCATCTCCCTGTCCCCGTGGGGGTGGTTCTTGAGTCAACTCACAATCAACTCCCCTCACGAACCCTTCCCATCCAATCCTCCCCCCCCCACTCCAGTGGTTCCATGCTGCGAGCAGCCATGCTGAGAACGACGTTCGTGGGCGCATCAGGCACCATCTCCCTGTCCCCTGGGGCGACCAGCAGAGCAACCTCACCTCGCATCCTCAACATCCACCACAGTCAAGCCTCATGCTCTCCCCTCCCGACCCTGCCTTCTATCCCCCTCGCTTCAAGTGGGGCCCCATGCTGCGAGCAGCCATGCTGAGAACGACGTTCGAGGGCGCATCAGGCACCATCTCTCTCTCCCCCTGGGGCGACCAGCAGAGCAACCTCACTCGCATCCTCAACATCCACAGCCAAGCCACTGACCAGTCAACTCAGTCAACTCAGTCAACAAAGTCCCCTATGGATGCCACTAGTGCAGTCACTGGGTCAGTGAGCCTGCAAGGGAAACGTGGAGGTGGTACCTGTGGGCTACTGGTCTCCCACGCGCCGCCTCTATCAAACAACAGCTGCTTCGGTGAGGCTTATGAGAGTGTGACTGCCGGAGCTGCAACTGGGAGCAGGCGTCTTTGTTGAATGCAGTGCGGAGGTGGTGTGCCTGTAAGAGACTGTTCTATCAAGCATCAGTCTGTGAAGATTGTGAATTGAACAAGTAATTAGATTAGAGGAACAACCTAGCATACATAGTTGGAAGGGAAGGTTGGAAGGGAAGGATGAAAGTGACCATAGGTTGGGTTGACCTCACTTGGGGAAGTGAGGGAACCATAGGTCAAGTGGGTTGGGTTGCCCACACTTTGTAGAAGTGAGGCAACCCTAGGCCCACTTGGCTTGGGGTAACCTCAATTGTGGGAAGTGAGGTACCCACAAGTCAAGAGGGTTGCATTTGGGGGCTCCACCACAATTGGGTGGATTGGCACCCCAAAGTGCAAGACTACACCCAAAGTTGGGTGTAGTCCCAACCCAACTGTACACCACAATTGGTGTACAGTCACATGTGTTGGCATGCTACACAATATATATTTTAACACAACCCTTAGCATGCTAACACAAGAAGAGAACAACCCCTGAATCAAGGGGCGGCCTGGGCGAGCAAGGCCAATGAGGCGGAGGAAGGCAGAGTGCGCGGGGCGAAGGAGGGCCTTAGTGAAGATGTCGGCCAAGTTGGCCTCGTTGCAAATCTTGCGAACGGCAATGAGGCCCTTCTGGACGAGCTCGCGAACGAAGAAGTAGCGGAGTTCGATGTGCTTGGAGCGTGCGTGATAGACGGGGTCCTGAGTGAGATGGATGGTGCTGGCGTTGTCGCACCAGAGAGTGGGGCACGTCTGGGGGGGCGCCAAGCTCCGCAAGAAGGAAGCAGAGCCAGCGCGACTCCTGGGCGGCCATGGTGCCAGCGTAAGAGCTCGGCTTCGCAGGTGGAGAGAGAGATGGCGGAGGAGCGGGTGGAGCGCCAGCTGATGAGGCCGCTGCCAAGGGTGAAGCCGTAGCCCTGGGAGGAGCGGCGGTCCGGCTAGCGTGTCAGCCCATGAGGAGTCGCTGAAGCCCGAGAGAAGGGGACGGGAAGGGCCGCCGAGGGTGAGGGCAAGGTCCCTGTTCCCGCGAAGGTAGCGGAGGACCCGCTTGGCAGCTTTCCAGTGCTCCTCAGAGTGACGACCGGTGCCGACAAAGCGAGCGAGCACGCTGATGGGGTAGGCGAGGTCGGGGGCGGGTGCACACCATTGCGTACATCATGTTGGTGCAACCTACGGTTTGCACTCGGCTTGTTGTCCGTGTGCGTGAATGTGTGTGTGTATGGAATGGTATGAGGGCATGGGATAATATATATTTCATGCTTATAATTGGTGTTGAATGTTGAGTCATGATGTCGAGTGTGTGTGTCGAGTCAATAGCGAGTTATCGCTAGACGCGTGTTACGCGGTCGTTTGTGTCTCGCGCGCGGTTTCTATTTTGTCGTGCGCCGGTTTTCTATTTTGTCCTGTGTCGAACGTTTCGGCGTGTCGCAGGTGTGTGCAGCAGACCCATCAAGAACTCAAGGATGAGTTTGTGATGAAGAGCCCGAGCCTTGGTGTCAAGCCTCAAGTGATTTCGAAGCTTGCCAAAAGGGTACACCTCAAGATATTGAAGATAGTTACATTACTTTGTGTAGTGTAACATTTCACTTGGTGTAGGCCCTAGTGAAGGGTAGTTTCGAGACCCTTCGTGGTTGGGGGACAGTGTGGCACTGTTCCACATCACTGTACCTCGGCTCTTGGGGTTTGTAGGAGCTGGGAGTCATTCCCAACTCGTAACTCTTCCTATCTTGTGTTCTAAGGACTATAGTGGCTGCCATAGTACCGGTTCGTTCAAACCGACGCTGTGTCGTCAATTCTTTATCAAATCGTGCAATCTAAATTGATAATTGTAGACGACGTGAAGACGCTCCAGATCCAATTTGAATCAAGTCATTTGCAGCTGTGAGCAGAACGCTATCAACGTTTGGAAGCCGCTGTGCAGAAATCCGTCTGTGCTCTCTATCTTTCGTTTTTAGGCACATTCAAGCTATTGTGATTATAACAAGTGGTATCAGAGCCCCTTGGAGCAGTTTCGACAATTTCTGGACCTGAGGAAAGGGGTGGCAGAGTTGCTGGTGGCAGTGGAGAAGCCCAAGCTCAAGGCCAACCCCGTGATTCAGCCATGGCGCCCATGCAACCAAGTCTTGGCCCACCTAGGGATGAGCCTAGGGTGTTTGGGCTTGACAAGTTCAACGGTGACAACTTTGCTGAATGGTCCTTCAAGATGGAGAACATCTTTGACCACTATGACCTGCTGGAGGTGATGGAAGGAACGGAGAAAGCGCCCCCGAGAACGACCCGGAGAAGAGCCCGTGGTGCGGAAGAGCGCACAAGGCTATCTCCTACTTGGGCAAGCGTTGGGGAGCAGCCAGATCCGTCACATCAAACCATTCCAGCGTGAACCAGAGAAGGGACCAAAGGCATGGGCTGCTCTCAAGGGTGTACATGCTCCTGCAACAGCGGCGGTAGCGGTGGTGTTGGAACGGCAAATGGCGGCACTACGAATTGAAGAAGACGAAGCGGTTGAAGAAGGGGTGCAGAAATTCTTCGACTTGTTGACGCGGCTTGAGGGGAGCTGATTTGAACTACAGTGAGCTCCAAAAGAAGACCAAAGTTGCTGGCCTTACTCCCAGAGTCATGGTCCTCGCTCATCATCAACCTTAATCGCGACTTGCCCCGCCTCTCGCTTGAAGACGTGAAGCGAGCTATCCTTCAAGAGGATTTCCGCCGCCGTGAGTTGGCGAGTGCGGATGGCGCTGGGGCAGCGAGCATCGGCCGTGGATATGGGTCGAGGAAGAGGCAGAGGACGAGGGGGAGGAAGGTTTGGAGGCAGCAACTTCAACGGAGGCCGCGGGAGTAGTGGATACGGCAATGACAACAAGAACAACGACGCGGTCGCGGACGGTTCGACGGCGAGTGTCATTTTTGCCACAAGAGCGGACACATGTGGCGCGATTGCTACAAACTCCCTGATGGATGGACTCCTGCTCAAGGCCAAGAGGGTAGAGGAGCAGGAGGAGGGAGAGGAAGAGGCCGTGGAGGCCGTGGCGATCGCGGAGGTGGTGCTGCAAGTATGAAGAGTGCCGGCAACGAGAGCGAGTCGAGGGACGATCGCTTCCCGGGTCAATTCTTCTTCGTGTCCACGCAAGCACCGGCTGGTCCAGAGAATGATGAAAGCTTTGAGGAGCCAGCAGCTGTGGGGAAGGTCACCCTACACTCCTGGACTATTGGGTGATCGATAGCGGCGCTACCTATAGCATGACACCTCGTGCGGACTTGCTCACCGAACATGAGCCGTCACCGGTGAAAGCATGTGACATCGGCTTTGGGGCAGCGAGCAGAGGTGAAAGGCATGGGCAAGGCCATGTTCAAGGGTGCTGATGGGAAGATGGTGGGCCTCAAGAACGTGCTTTGGGTGCCCAGACCTTGCTGCAAACCTGATTTCCCGTGCGGCGGTTGCAAAAGGCCGGCATGGACACGAGCTCGAAGGGAGCTAAGACCTACACCGCGAGGCTTGGCAAGCGGATTCTTTGGGACCTTCACGAGGATAGGGATGTCTACAACGAGATGTGGCAAATCCCTGTGGTCCCCATGCCTAAGGAGAGGCAGGTGGCAGCAAGCATCAGCACCAAGGGTGAAGCGGTTGGTAGCGGCGATGGCGCGAACGGTCGCACTAAGGAGATAAAGGTCCAAGAAGTGCAATCTTGGAGGGACCCAGCAAAGCTCGGTGAACATGAGGAGAGTGGTGCAGCAGCTCAGAAGCAGCACAAGGGTGAGGAGAACCCCAAGGCAGCAGCGGAGGAGGATTACGGAGAGAACATGTGGGGGCACTATTGCGAGTGCGGCATTCTCCAATCCGACTTCGCTACGGGGGAGTGTGATTGGCTCACCTTGCATCGGCGAATGGGGCATGTGGCCCTGCCCATCTTGCAGCAGCTAGTGAAGAATGAGATGGTTGCTGGCATACGTGTGAAGGGGGAGCCCGATGAGGTAATTGGCTGCCCGACGTGCATGCAAGCCAAGTTCACACCGTTTCCCGTTCTCTAGTTCGGAGGCAACGGCTAAGGCACCACTTGATGAGGTGGTGATGGACGTGGTGTGGCCCCCTGAAGCTTGGAGCTGCTGGAGCTGAGTACTTTCTCCCATTGTGGACGTCTACACTCGCATGACTTGGGTGTAACGTGCTGTCCAAGAAGAGTGACGTGGCTGAAACGGTGAAGACCGATTGGTTGCCGATGGTGGAGCGGCAACAAGACCGGCTAGTGAAGGCAATCCGCACCGATCGAGGGGGAGAGTTCTTGAGCAAGGAGTTTGGATTGTGGCTGAAGAAGAATGGCATAAGGCACTCCCTTACCATGCCATACTCCCCTGCAATGAACGGCATCGCCGAGCGAGCGAACCGGACAATCACGGAGACGGCGCGCGGGTTGCTCATTGAAGCCGGGCTAACCCGAATATTTCTGGCCCTGAATGCGGTGCGGAGTGCATGTGTGGCCAAGAACAGAGCTTTGACTCATGTGGGAGCAGACAAATGGGTGCCCTATGTGGAGTGGATTGGAAGGAAGCCAAAGGTGGATATGCTTCGGGTGTTCGGGTGCCATGTGCATGGCGCTCGTGCCTAAGCATCTTCGGCACAACAAGCTCGGTGCCAAGGCGATATGGGCTGTGCACTTGGGCATGGCTTCAAAAACAGCAAGGGGTGGCTTCTTTGGGACCCATTCACCAAGAAATTCTTGGTGAGCAGGGACTGCAAATTCATGGAGAAATCTGATGTACAAGGATTGGAAAGGCGGAGAATGGAGGCGAAGATAGGCGTGCGGTTGGGGGACGTGAAGAGTTTCCGGTTGGAGCATGTGGAGCTGCCCTTGGAGCTGAGCAGCGGCAGCAACACCACAAGGCAATCTTCCCTTGTGAATGGGGGAGAGGAGGCCAAGGATGCAGAGGAAGAAGAGGAGGAGGTTCAGCAAGTGAGCGAGCGTGCACCGACACTTCCTTCTCGCACTACGAGTGCTCCACGGATCCGATCAC